TTTTTGCTACGTTTTTCGGATCTCGTCAGGATTAAGTGAAATTGCAACGTTTTGGCTGCTACCCATCGCCTAGCATTTAGCTAGCAACAACTGGAGCGACAACAACTGGAGACAAAACATAAAAAGAATTTAAGGAAAACACCTTCAAAGAGCTTTTAATTTGACACATGAGGAACGTTTTAACCTTGGGTAAATGGTATCTATCAGAAGAGGAGAGTTCTGGATCAGGAGTGTAGAAAAGGATTGCACATCATTATATCCATTTAAATTCCTATTTTCCTAAGTTTTTAATTAACGTACCGAAACACCAAAGCCAAACGGAGCGTAATGGATCAGAGCTTCGGAGAAGAAGACTGTCAGACTGAAGAGGACACAGAGCACACCAATGAAGATCTGAACGACCTGGAAAACAAAAACAAGGGATCAGTCCCTCCCAGCTTAGTTTCTTTAATCATTAGGATCCACTCAGTGTCAGAGTCTCACCCCAAGGCCCATGGACTCCCCCTGCAGGAAGATCGTCTCCTTGCTGTCCTTCTTAGGGGGGGCAGGAGGGGTCTTCAGGACAGGGGATGGCACCTGATCTGCGGGGTTGGCAGAAGTCTCTAGGGGAATGGAGCGGTCATCTTTAGGGATGACCTGTGTAATGATAACCACTCCACCCACGGTGGTGACAGACGTTGACGTCATGATAGGAATTCAGTGGATCACAGATGGAATTCTGGGAAAATATCCAAGTAGAGGTATCAAACATCGAATCCAAATATGATTAATATAAAAAAAAAAGAAAAAAAGAAAAGCAGTTTGTGAGCTGAAAATATCAAAGCGACATCTTCTTTTATCCTCCCATTGGGAATATGGACCTCTGGACTCTTTGAGTACAAGGCAAAGAATTAAAGCATTGGATTAGTTAAAGTCCAATAAAATGAATCGGATGGACATCAGTGCATCATAAGAATGAACTAATGAAATTAATATTATCAACAATGGTACCTCTGTAGTAATTTGAACTCTTACTGATTCTTGCATGTACTCTGTGATTCTTCCTGTAGCTTGTAGCGTATCCATATTTATTAAATATCTTAATACTGTGTTAAAAAAGATTTGTTTGAATAAAAGTAGAATTATTCTAAGTGTGGTTGTCCGTGATTATTTATACAGCAGTGATCAATTGTCTATAAGAGCTGGATTAAATTCCTTTGACTTAACAACGTGAATAGATAGAGACATATTTTCCTTTTGGTAAATGATGAATAACTGTTCTTAATTTATAAACCAAGTTATTGACATAAACTGATGCTGAAAACCACTTGGATTTTAACAGCTGGTCCAAAACATCCAATTACAAAGATAAGACATTAATAACAACATGTAATTGGGCAAATTGTCAATTATAATAATTTAATCAATGGTTATTACTTGGTTTTAGCTTTGATTTGAATGACATATTAACAACTTCCAATTCCAGTAATTAATCGATTAATAATCAGGTAAACTTGCACAACATATGATTGTTTACAAATATGTTATCAAACAGTAGTATTGGCCAATAACCTAGGAGCTTGGAGAATCCATTTTGAACCGTTTATCCTTTTTAAAATCTTCTTCCTTGTATTTGGATCCCAGTTGGTTGCATATTAATTGATGCCGATATGATAATTTTTTGCAAATACAACTATTGTATTAGTTAAATAATCAAAATTATGTAATTGCACTATAACATTGATCTTCCATTGTTCGTTTGGTATTACATATGGATGCATTACGCACTTTAGGCGGAAGAAAACATAGTTTCCATCAATTCAGGGAATTTTTAGGCAGTTTTCTTGGTAGTATGCATCATCTAAAATGAATATAGTATCAAAGGTAATTTCACACATACATACATACATACACACACACATATACACATTATATGTATGTATATATATATATATATATATATATATATATATACACATATATATATAAGATTTAATTGTTTTCATGACCTTGAAAGCTTGCTTTTCCAGTGTGTCCTGAGGAGCCAGTTTGAGAGCCACTCTTATGGGGTAGTTATATTATTTTGTAGATGCATTTGCACAAAAGTTTCATATTGGAATCATCAGCATCTGAGTAAAACCCCCACGCAAAAAGTAATGATGACACCTAGTTTTAAACGGCACGAAACACACAAAAACACATTAAGCCTTCCTCCTCTATGCTGACAGGCAGGGTCGTAGCAAAATAAAATCAGATGTATTAAAGAAAAAAATTTGAAAAAATACAGGGATTAAGACAGATTGGCAAAACTGTATAGGATTTATATTTTGGGATGAAGCACTTTTACCCAGAGAAAGAAAGCTAATCAGGAAGCCCTGACTAATCACATTCTGCATCTTGGTTCTGCTTTCAGAGAACCAACCACAGATATTCCATAGACTCTCTGCTGAAGTTTACTGACAAAAAAACAACAGCTAATTCTTGTCAAAACACATTATTTCAATAGAAATATGACCCCCCTTGCTTTAGCATTTTCCAACTTATTGTTTTATTCTTTTAAGATAATTGAAAAGAGACAAAGGGATTGCTTTTCTTCCTGTTCCGTTTTTGTTCATAGAAAAAAAATGGAATTCGTTTGTTTGGTTTTCTTCTCATGTCTTCCTCATTATTATTATTATTATTATTATTATTATTATTATTGTTACGCATTTGGGGAAAAAATGGCATCAAACAAATAACTTAATGAATAAATGTAAACACATAATCTCCATTTGGACTCTGACAATAAAATATAACAACGATAAAGGAGTGTAAACGTTCAAACTCCATGTAGACAGAAAGCCTTAGGCCATTAGATCAAACTCAATGCGTCTTCTTATAGTGAAACTAGCAATTCTAAGCCAACCAGCCACATAAACAATATTAAACATGTATCTTTTATATTATTTTGATCAAACAATAGCTAAGGACTTTAAAACCCGATGAAAAACAACTGCGCCTAAGAAGGAAAAAGTCAAAAATGTTTCAAGTTGGAACCCGGAAATCAATGTCGCAACACGCTAAATATACAGGATAAAGACAACAACAAAGTGGATCATACTAAACATAATCTACAGTGTTTAGGGAAAAAAAACTTCCTCGTTATCTTTGGAGAATACTGTAAATCGTTACCTGCTTTTAATCCGTCCGTTTTCAGTTGGCGTGCTCTGCTCTGTTTAGGTAGGGGTGCCTTCAGGTTTCCTTTGGAAAACTGGAAATCTTTATAATAATAACAGTGCCTGTCTAAAAAGCCAAAGCTTAGGGTGGTCAGAGCTGCTCGGGTCCTGCGCATGTCAGTGACGTTACACTACATGATTGGCTCAACGATGCCACATGATGTTGTTGCCCAGACAACGATGATAACATGACACAGCGTCCGTGTGCCGAGTTTGGAGCATCTGTAGCGACTAATAATCGATGAAGTTTTACCTGATCGATAACAAAACCGAAAAATAAAATGTTTATGGTGAACAAAGTAACTGCAAGCCCATGATATAAAGGAGGAGAGCTGCGTAGCGCTGTGGCTAGCTGTGCTCAGGTGCTAACAGGTTAGCCTCCTTTAGCTCGGTCAGTTAGCCATGTTAAGCTACTCTACTTTTAACTTCGTGTCAACTTTTTTAATTGTCTAAAATCTCTACGGAAATAATTTTTGAAGATGTCCAATTTGTCCTCCACTGCCCTCAGATGTTAATAAAAGAATAAAATAAACTGAGACTTATTTGTCATCTTGTTATGGCCGCACTTTCAGTCACGCACTTTACTTTTCTTCAAAACTGACAATGATTGTTTTCTACATTCGGCTACTTTAGATCGCGAATGCAATGTAAAATAATAGCAAATATAGGTAATAATATCTTGAGCTTCCAAAAGAGATTTGATCCTTAAGAAACCGGTGCAATAACGTTTTTCCCGAGTGGATTTGTCATCAGAAAGCAGATCTGCTACCTACAATCTGCTACCTCAGCAACATTGCTTAGTATATACAAAGAAATAAGAAAATAAATGCATCTAACGCATTAGGTTGTCGAATCAAAATGTTAAAAAGAAACAGATGAACAATTAGTTTCTATAACAAATACAATTGTTTTCAAGTGAACCAAAAGTCGGTTTAAGATATTTATTAATTTAAGTTAATGATTAATGTCTTAGAAGATCCTCAACAACATCATTAGAATAATTTCCGTATTGGCTGTTTTATCCTCTTTTTTTTTTTTTTATGTATTCAATGTGATAATGAGAATTTCGACGGCCTATGAAAGCAACACAAGGAAATCCTAGCGTCACTTCTGGTAACTGAAGTTTTTATTTATTTATTTATTTATTTATTTATTTATTTATTTATTTATTTATTTATTTAATGTTTTATTATCACCATCATATACAACAGACATGGCTTGACTTTAAGAAAACGACATTTGTAAATGAAAAACCTGCCCATTTACACATTTACTAATCTTTCAAATTTCTTTTCTATTCTCAGAGTCCCAAAAATAATCCAGAATTCAATAAAGTTTGGAGATTTGGAGAAAAGCCAGTAAAGCACATCATCCAACAAAACTTTGCAATACACACATTCATAGAAAAGATGTTCAGTCTATTCAATATAACAGTGACAAAATAAACAAGTGTTATCAATAGCAAATGGAAGTCTAAGAAATTCCTTAGAGAGGTAACACCGTAAATATTTTAAAGTGGAATTCCTTGGGTTTTGGAGGAATGGAAAGATTTGAATAATTTGTTCTTATTTTCAATCTTTCAGACTTGAAGAATGGGATATAAAATTTGGGTTTGATAAAAAAAAAAAAAAAAAAAAAAAAAAAAAGAAAAGTATTTTTAAAGTATTCCCTATTTTTTGAGTTTTTTTAGATCATTAACTGTCATACTGTGTCCATTAATCAGAAGTCCAGGGGTTGAAAGATTTCATTGCTGGATTGGGTATTCTTAATGTATAAGCAGAGTAGATAAGTCTTGAAATACTTTCCATTTTGGTGAGTAATATTCTTCCCAGAATAGATAAATCTCTGTGTGTCAATTTACTTCGTATTTATTTAGTCATATTTATTTTTATTTATATGCACACCCAGATATTTAAAATAGGATTTTATAGCAATATTAAAAGCAGTCAATATGGGACAGTCTTTTAGAGGCAAAATTTCACATTTGTTCAAATTTAATTTATGTCCTGAAGCCTTTGAGAACATTTCAATCAATTTAAGAATTTTGGGTATTTCATTCAGGTTATTTAAGAAGATGGTTTTATCATCAGCTAGCTGACTAATAGAAAACTATTTGCCTGCCACCGATAATTTACCAAATTGAGTGTTTTTCATTGATATGGAAAGCATTTCTGCAGCAGCAATAAATAGCAGAGGAGAGATTGGACAACCTTGTTTTATACCTTTATTGATGCTAAATCTTTGTGAGGTACCATGTGGAAGACCCACTGAACTGTTTGTATTTTTGTAAAATGTTTTAATTACATTAATAAATGTATTTCCAAACCCAAATAAATCCAAAGCTTTGAACATAAATTAATGTTTTCTCAATCAAATGGTTATAGTCAATTAGGTCCAAAATAAGGCAAATGTTATTATTTTTAACATGTTGTATTATCCTTGTTTATCATGGGTGAATTAAAAGACTATAGCTTGGTGCGGTGCTGTCCTCTAAGAATTGTCATTAGTTGACAGAAGAAAAAAAGTCTGAAAAAAATCATTATGGGCCCCTGGTGATTTATGGGGAGATATTAAATAATTGTAGAATTCATACATGGATTAGAAGATGTGGCTCATGATGATATAACTTTGAAAAATTTAATTTTCATACAGCATCAAAACATTTGAACGTCCTTAATTTAGATCCTAATATTTGTATAAATTTGTTTGTTATGTGTACTCACCTCATTGGTCATTTTACTACATCAATTTCATATTAATGCTGACTAACATGTCAGCATTTTGCAATGGTTGCCATCCTCTTTAAGGCTGTTGTATATGTCCCAACATAAAAAGGAAGGAATAAGTGGGGAAAAAAACAAACTGTACAGAGGAGCAGCACCGCTGTTTGCTTTGGCAGGAAAATAGAGGATTTTTAAAAGAAAAATTTGTCCCAGGATCAGGGTGCAAAGACTTTAGACGCATTTCTGAGCAGATGTGACTGTTTGTCGTCCTTTACTCACCTGCATGGAAAGTGAGAAGTGCTACTTGTGAGAGCAGATGGTGTCGCACAATCATGTTTCTAGATGACGCTTTAGGTTATGAAAACTATTATTGTAACTCGTGTATATTTATGTATGTATTTTTTTCTGCAACTTTTCAGTTTGAAATCTTTATCATTGGGAGCATTTTATAATGTGTAATAATATTGACATTCCTCCATATTATCCTGTTTTCACATTTTCTACTTTTTGTTAAGGATTATAAACATTTTTTATATTTATTGATTTACCCTGAATAAACTTATATAGCTAAAGGTCTGTCTTTAACCTATCTGGCTGCTAAAGTTAATATCTCCTATGGGGATAATAAAATGTGTTTCCATATTAATAATTGTATTATTATTAAAACATTTACCCTTTCAATGTTTGAGTCTCTTGCTCGACACAACGCTTGCTAAAGGTCCTCCTCAATACTTCTGCAATTGCTTTATTTTGTGAATAACTTTCATAATCCTAAGGTAAACACAAAAGAAAAATCCTGTAGTTTGAGAAATTCTAAGATTTGTTATTAAAATAAATCTTTGTAAATACAGGCACATGTTTTTAAGAGGTGGTATTTCAAAGTTCTTTTTTTTGGCATATTTTTCCACTTTTTATTCCACGAAATCAAGCCCTAGAGCCACAAAAAATTAAAATAAAAAAAGTGCAGTCAAAAATAAATTAATTTTCACATCTAAACCAAATCAGGTTTACATAAAATAGACAGAAAGGTTTTATTATAACCAGACACAGATGTGAAAAAACTACTCATATGCATATTTTTACTCATTTATTTCTTTCCACAACATAAATAAGAAGTCTGCTTAACTATGATGCTGATTATTAATGCATCCTTTGTGACAAAAATATAGATATTGAAAAATAAATTGAAAGCATTTTGACTTTGCACATTGTCCATGATTTTCAGTGGAGAGGTAGGTGAAGTGTGAAGAGGAAGGAAATCTGCTAGATTATGCCGATTTGTATCACTTCTCCTCACAGAGCAAACACACAGCTGGGTTACATCACAAGACACATTTTTTTCCTGAGCTGAGCTACAACTCATTAGATTTAAGCGTTCACCTCATATGTTTGGGGCTTTTATTGTTGGAAGACTGACATTGTTCACAGAAAACAAAACATTTATTACCTGGATTTTTCCCCCCTGGAATTAAACAGACATGAAAGATGCAGCGAGGAGATTTTCGATTGGATTTGTTGTCCTTCTTGTTTCTATCACAGGTACTGAAACGCATTGACAGAATAAAAAATATATCTGAATAAAATGAGATAGTAACTATCACTTGTTGATTTGAGAAGGTTGGCAATTGTAAATTCACACTATGAAAAACGTGATTATTTTAAGGGGACCTTTACGGTTATTGTGACTAATATTTTTGGTGTATCTGTGTTACAGTGGAACAACATGAACTGCGCTGGTCTGTTAAGTATGATTCTCATCAGATCTGCGCCTTACAGGGATCAACAGTGAAGATAAAGTGCACCTTTACATATCCAAATAAAATAAGTAACAAAAAAACTCAAGTTAAACAATGTTCTGGTTTACTAAAGAAATTCAAAAAAGCCATTTGGATCTAAAGAACGACTCCAATTATGCTGGTCGAATATGGTATGACTTTAAAGGGAAAAAATGCTTTCTGACAATCGCAGATCTGAGAATGAGCGACTCGGTCAACTACAAGTTCAGGTTCATAACAAATCAACCAGAAGGAGCATTAACTGGTTTGCCTGGTGTCGCTTTGAATGTTACAGGTAGCTGAACTGTGTGGTTCTTGTGAATCTGTTTCTTTTTTTGCATCTCTGTTGGTTTAGTATAAAATTGTGTCTTTTTGTTTCCTCAACAATAAAGATCTCAGAGTGAAGGTCAGAAGATCAGAGACTCTGACGGAGCTAAAGTGTGAAAGCAGCTGTGGTCTAACCAACCTCCCCTTCTATGTTTGGTACAACAAAGGGCAGGTGATGGGGGAAAAAACTGCTTCTGTTCAGGTTTCTGTTAAAAAAGGAGACAGATATTCCTGCTCTGTTAAAGGAAATACAAATTACCACTCTCCTTCAGTGTGTAAGTTTACACCTCAGTGTTAAGTGTAACATTTTATTCTTCTAATACATTGCATGTAACCCTAGAATCAAGTCACACCCTTTATTTTCTAAAAAGAAAATTAATTTCAACCACTAACTTTGACGCTACTATCTAGAAGCACTACTAGTCTTAATGAGAGCAATTATTGGCTACCCACCTAAAGTTATGCTGTTAAATGAAAAGCAAGGATGGTTTAACCAAATATAAACCAGGCGGGTTTAATTTTCATTATTTAAAACACCAGAATTTGCACCTAACTGTATATTTTTGTCTTTCTGATTGAATATTATGAGAAATTCAATCAGATTTTTTTCTATCAATCAGTTTCTTTCAGGTTCATATTTTTGGGGTATTACATTTTACTTTTAATTTAGTTCAAACATTTTGAAATAATGCTCCCCTTACTAAAATACAAGCTTTTCATACTCTACCCACCTTTTTGATTCAGTTAATAAATATCCAGATTCAATAATTTCTGATTTTGGTATCTTTTCCAGATGCTCCAAAGCTTCTCTCTGTGATGGTGAGATTTCCAGATGAGTTAACTGAGGGACGCTCTGTGATGTTTAAATGTAACAGTGAAGCTAACCCTGCAGCTAAATACACCTGGAAAAAGGAAAACAACCAAACTGTCCTCAGTCAGAACCAAACGTTTGTCCTCAGCTCTGTCCTGTCCGTAGACTCTGGGCAGTTTTACTGCACAGCTGAGAATGACCTGGGAGAGAGAACGTCTAAAAGGGTTTATATTGATGTCAAATGTGAGTGAAACTGTTTAATAATAATGTTAATGTATTCCTAAGTGAATTTAATCATTTTGGTCATTTGAGTCAAAAAGATAAAATTATGTTATTTAGAGCAACTGTGTCAAGAATAATAATAATTATACATTTTATTTCAAAAGCGCCTTTCTGGACACTCAAGATCACCGTATTTAAGATTAAAACACAATTGGAGAAACAAAGATAAACCATTATATACTTAAAAAACAATTTTTAAGGATAATTGTGCTATCAAAAAAGATGAATACTTATGTATCACTCTAAAAGGCAAGGCAAGTTTATTTGTGAAGCACATTTCAGTAAATGGACAATCCAAAGTGCTATACATAAATTAAACAATAAAATAGAAGAAAAATAAAAGCAAATGAAGATAAAAACATGATAAAAGCAGGTAGTAAAACAAATAAAAGAGTTGGATCACAAACTTGAAATAATAAAACCTCAGTTTACAGTTTAACTTCAACATTAAAAGGCAGCTCTAAACAAATTAGCTTTTAACTTTGACTTAAAATACTTTACAGTCTTCTGGGAGTTTGTTCCAGATAAGTGGAGCATAGGAACCAAATGCTGCTTCTTCATGTTTGGTTCTTGTTCTCGGTGATCAGAGTGAGCTGGAACTAGGAGACCTGAATGGTCTGGGAGGTTGATACACCGACAACAAATCTGTTTTGTATTGAGGGGCTGATCCATTCAGAAGTTTATAAACTAACAGAAGGACTTTAAAGTCTCTTCTCTGAGCTATAAGGAGTCAGTGTAAGAACTTCAGAACCAGGCTGATGTGTTCTACTTTCTCAGTTCTAGTGAGAACACGGTCAGCTGCATTTCAGATCAGCTGCAGCTGTCTGATGGACTTTTTAAGCAAGCCTATAAAGACATGTTACAGTAATCAATTCTACTAAAGATTAGTGCATGAATAAGTTTTTCTAGATCCTGCTTGGACATTAGTCCTTTAATGTTGGAAATGTAATTTATATGATAAAAGGCTGACTTAGTCACTGCCTTTATGTGCCTCTGAAGGTTCAGTTTTGAGTCAATCATGACATCAAGATTTCGGGCCATAATCAGTGGTTTCTAGCTGTAGTAGCCAAAGCTGTGAGCTAACTATGAATATCTCCTCCTTTGGTCGAAAGATTACTATCTCTTTGTTTGTAATTAGTCGGAGAAAATTATGGCGCATCCGCATATTTATCTGTTTTATGCTTCTAGCCAACTCTCTGATGGGTTCATAGTCTACTGGTGACATTATGATGTAAACCTGTGTATCATCTGCATAGTTATGCACCTGCTGTTGCTGTTGTTTGCCACTATCTGAGCTAAGGAGAGTATGTAGAGGTTGTATAGGGGGGACCCCAGAATGGAGCTTTGAGGAACCCTGCATGTCATTTTTCTGTATTAAATCCATATTGTATAAGTTTCTTTTTAAAATAAATTTTAAAATTTAACTTTTAAATTTTATTCATTAAAATGCATCTCATTTATCAATTTATACCTATTCTCTCCATGTATTTATAACACCTCATTGAAAAACTATTTATCTTAGCTTCTCCAAGGCCTCCCTCTGTGTCACTGAGCCCATCTAGCTTTATAGCAGATGGTGCTACAGTAACCCTGACACGCAGCAGTGAAGCAAACCCAGTAGCGAACTACTCCTGGCACAAAAAGAATGATTATACTGCTGCTCAGCTGAATGAGGAGCGGAAGCTTGTCCTAATTTCCATCAAGCCATCTGAGTCTGGAGATTATTACTGTTAAGTCAAGAATAAATTTGGAGGCAAAACATCTGAAGTCATTTCTATTGATGTAAAATGTAAATATATCTCAAATATATTCTCTTTCATATTCTTATTTCATCTAATGATATTTACGACAAAATTGCAGAAAATGGAACCTAAACATGACTAAATAGATTGTAATCTTTGTTTTTTATCCTCTAAGGAATCTGAAATGTAAGACTATAGAAAAAAAAGTATGGTCTACCAACCTGAAGGCATGCCAGCCTGTGTTTGTCTATACAATGAGATTTTTATGCTTTTAATCTGCAGATGCACCCAGGCCTCCTTCTGTGAAAGTGACACCTTCTAGTGAGATAATGGAGGGCAGCTTGTTGACACTGACCTGCAGCAGTGATGCTAACCCAGAGGCTAAATACACCTGGTACAAGGAGAGAGAGGATTCACCTACAGCCTCAGGACCAAACTTCACCATCAGTAGCATTATTTACCAGCAGGGAGGAAACTATTACTGTCAAGCCCAGAACATTATAGGGAGCAGTGGTACTGTGCTGAATGTGAAAGTTGTGCCAGGTAATGTCAAATCAGGCTGCAATTATTTGGTGTTCTGTTGTAAACATAAAAATATAGTTTTTATTGTTTGTCAGGATTATTCATGTGTTATATGACAGCAGGTTTAACCTGCGCTATAGCAGCACAAGAAATTTGTCCTGCAGTTTAGGGCACCTGCCAATTTCTTTGTAATGTGCTAGATTTATGGTTAAGAATACAACCATTTAGTTGGATCAGATACAAATGAGCACTTTTACAACAGGTACACCTGCTGAGAGATTTTCAGATGAAAACCTCGAGTAATCAGTGTTTGAGTTCACACTGTTGATTTCACAGATTATTTTTACTTGTGTATTCATTATTTACTAAAAGGAAGCACAAAACTTACAAGCATGTTTGAATTAAAAATATAAAGTCTAAACTCCTGAGAAGCAGAGATATAATGTTTGTTCATTCATTTACTTGTAAATGACAGTTTTAAACGTAGGATTATGTAGTTTGGACACACTACTGATATCTTAATTATACAACAGACATCAGACAGCTGCTCAAGGGCCCTTATTCTGAGCCAAAGGTTATGCTGACTTATCTAAATGAGACACATATCATCTTTGTGTTTGAAGAAAAAAATCCTTAAAATAACTGAAAATAACGTTTTTCTCCATGACATACCAAATCGTTATCTCAGATCATTTACGGTTCCTCTTGCTAAACTTTGGAACGTCACATCCTCCTCTGTGTTCTTGACTAATTTTGTTTTATTTTCTCAAAGTCAAGAGGACTTGCATGAAGCCTAATTTTATTTAAAACTAACTAGTTGGGTCATAAATAAAGTATTTTTTTGTATCAGAGCGTTATAGTGGTTATTAGTTAGATACACATGTAATTTCATTTTAACAGAAATGTACTTTAAGGATTAGTTTAATGCAACAAACTTTTTACTTTTACTTAAGTGATATTCTTGCAACAGTAATGCTATTGCTATTCATCATGTTCTTACCAGAGTAAGAGTTAAAAAAAAAAAGCAGTGCTTGGACTACAAGTTGCTTTTGCTTGGTGAAGGAATTGACCAAGACTCCTGGATATGTGTCCAACCGCTTTTAGGAAATCAGAGTAAAAATATGATTGCCCTGTATTAAGTTAAGTGGATGCCGTGACCCTGGTGACTGCAAATTTGTAGAGGTAAGACTTGGCAACGTGAGGATTCACTAAACCATGGCATTTTATTAAGTTCATTTTATAATTGTGTCAAGGATGTGTGTAGTTTGGTAGAGGATCCAGATGCAGAGCTGAAGTGGCAAGGATCTCAGGTTTTAAAAAACTAGGAGATGCTTGGGCAAACAAACATAAGGAATGAAGAAATTCCAGGAAATGCAGAGGAGTAGTATAAATGGCAAACAGAACAAGGAAGGGAGTAATCAACTGATTGGGAGCAGATGTGAACAGAAGTAATTAGAAGGGAGCTAGGGGAGAGGAAACTGGCAACAGGGGGGCAACACAGAGTAACTCAGAAATACATCAGTACTTAAATATAACTAGAAAATAATTTAGATGACAATAAATGGAAATGAAACTAATGACTTAGAAAAAACAGACATAAATCAAAGTGTAATAGGCTCTATGCACAGCTCCACTACTTCCTGAATTTAATGCAGCTCCTTTGTTTCCTGTCTTTCATGATTGGATGCACTGATTAATCCAGGTGTGTATGACCTAAGTAACTGGCCAGACACACCTGGATTAATCAGTTCGTCCAGTAATGAAAGACAGGAAACAAAGGAGCTGCCTTAAATTCAGGAAGTAGTGGAGCTGTGCATAGAGCCCATTGAAAACCCAAAGTGAAACTTTGGGAAAAGAAAATCCTAAGGAGATCAAAGTGAAAACTAATACTTCACTTTGCCATTTTCAAGCCTATTCTATGTATATATATATGACCGTGATTAAGACCTAAAAAAAATTTTTATTTTATTTTTTTAATTTTTATTTTTTAAATATATTAATATATATTTTTGTGCAAGATGTGCAAGGTAAATATTTGATTTTTAATGAATAGTAAAGCGACGTATTTCCGCCCTAGTGCGCAACAAACTTTGGCATTATACATGCGCAGTAGCTCCTCTGCAATAAAAATACCATTGTGACAACTTAGTGTACGTTTGATTGGTATTTGGTAACTGTCTATTTTGAATTTATAATTCCCCATGGAGAAAACTCCACCAGCCACCATTGATGAAGTTCTGTCTTAAACCAGTTAGATATGTGCGTGAATGGCTTGCAAAGCCTTCCACAGCTAGTGAGGATCTGTTTCCCACTCAAGCAGCACATGCAGCAGCAATGGTCAGCATGGAGGACAGGATGTAACTTCCATATATACATTGCCCACATTCATTGCGTAAGACATCACTAACAAATATTATTTGAAATAGGCTATATAAATCATTCTGTTGAAAGAGTAATTGTTTTAACATGTTACCACACTGTCATAAATAAAGTCATAACTGAAAACGTACAAAACAGTGGGCCCAAATAAATATTTTTTAGGATCCATTAAATTAGCCTTGATATTATGATTACAGGTTACAAAGGTTAACTCAACAACACACATTGATTTACCTGTTGATATAGCAGCATTTATAGTACACACATAAGGTGTGTGGAGGACCCTAGCAAGTCTTTATAAAACAATACAAAAATAAAAATTTTGCTTCTTTAATAAAACACACATATTTTATTGTGTAACTGTTAAAAAGGAAAAATAAAACCTGCTGTATTTTTTGGCGGTGCATGATGCACATGTGAGGTGCACTCAGAGCGAAAAAAATACAGGGGTGAACTCAATGATAGCTATAGCCATTGGCTGGGTGTTGAAAGTTTGATATTTCCTTTAAACTTGCGTTCGTCCTCCAAGCATCGTAGCAAGTCTCTGTCAGAGTCTGGACTACCATGGTGACGACAGCTTCCTGGTCCAGGAAGGCCTTCTCAAAAGCGAGGGTCATCAAAGGGACCAACCTTTGATCAGCAGCAAGGGTGCTTCACAGGATGAAGTGTGAAGTGAGTAGGTGAAGGGAATAGCTACAGGTTGGGAAAGGCCCTTCCACAGCAATATTTGTGCACCTGGTTCAATTAGCAGATAGCATCATAGTTGTATGCTTATGCCATCTGCCGGCAGTACTTACTCACATATCCATTGTTACGACCCGGCTCAGCCAGGGAAAAAGGAAGTAACATTAAAGAAACCCTGGTGGTAAGGTTTTAACAATTTAAGGATTTATTGTTTGGAGTTTTTCAAAATAAACAAAAAAGGGTAACAATTATTAATCAAAACGTAGGGACTCTCAACAACAGAGTATTCACTAAAACAAACTTTGGAAACAACTTGGAAACTTCTGTACTTTCGGCTCTCTCTCCGGTACAGATCAACGTCTATATTTCCTTTCAAGCACCATTTGTTTTTTATCTCCCTAGGCATTCATTTTGTGCTTTTTTTCACTTTATCTTGAACTTTTTCTTTTCCCTTTCACACCTCTGCTGAGAGTTCCATGGCTCCATTACTTCCTTTTCTATTTATTGTGTGCAATATCATACCACAGGTCAGATGATCTTGTTATGGAAAATACATTCAGTTCTTAAGTTTACTAGCAAATGGAATGCAACAAAATTTAAAACACAGAAATGAAATCTAATAATCTAACAGGGCACCATAATCTAATGGAAAAGCCTTTGTATGCAGCTGCTGGTTGTGAAAGTTATAGTGCATATCAATTATAATTTTTTAGATCTTTGTGCAGAAGCTTGAAAAGAAAGACTATTTATTTCAATTAATTGTACTCATTTACCATCTATTTATAAGACATTCATTATATATTATGGTATTTAATAGAAAAAATATATTTTTTGTTAGCATTAATATTAGAGTCAGTCTATGTCTAGTCTTTTCTCCTTTTCTCCTAAGAAAACTTTGTGAAAGCAAAGGTTACGCAGTCCTATGTGGCACATTATAAAGTGCTAAATATAAATATTGATGGCTAATGTAGAATTCTCTTATTTATCTGCCTTTGCTCAGTTACAAAGTAAAATGTCACCCTGTGTTTTGTATTTGTTCGTGAGAAATCCCTTTCAATATATTAATTTGCTCTATCGTTTCTATTCATGTTACTCATATTACAACCAATAAAGTGAAGTTTTTCTCCTTTACTCCTATTTATTGAGCTTCACAAGAGTTTATTTTGGGTTAAAACATATGTTGCAACTTAAAAAAGATAAGACAATTTGCATTAAAAAGACAAAAAAACAAAGCTTTATATTTCTACTTAGAATAATGTGCCTTTGTTGGCATTGGAGCAACCAAATTCTTCTTTATATCTGATGAGAATGACCTCTCTGTTATAATTTGTGAGAGTAAAGGTTTGAAGCAGCAACAAGACATTAGCAGGCACGTGATGATGGATTTATTTAAAGAAAAAACATAAACAGGACCTGAGGGAACCTGGGTGGGTGACAGCAAGGTTGTTAGCAGAGCGTCAACTAAGAAACAGGCAAGGAACAGGAAACAGAAAACCGACTTAAATACAACATTTACTTCCTTCAATTCACAGATTAGAATAGAAAATAGGGAACCACAAACTGACACAGGTGCCACGGGTAGAGGCGAACCAAGCTGACCATATTAACCTTATGCTATATAATGTGTAATCTAAAGAAAGAAACAATTAAAATGCAGATAAACATAGTTTAATCATATTTTCATACAGCTCTGTGCATGTCTGATGATGACGTCAGAGAAGCAATTTAACAAAGAAAATGTAAAAAGCATAAAAATGGTCTCACAAAAGTCATAAAACATTTTTTACAGATGTGTATCACTATTCTTTAGTGAGTTAAGGATACAAATAAGTAGTTTTAATACCATAATTACATTATTTATGGACACCCGGATGTATATGTGTACACGCATGCACAGAAAAGATCGTTCTTCCGGGACGGATTTGGTAGTGACAGGCAGTTCGTTCTACCGGGGCCTAAATGCCAGGCGCACGTCATTTGATGTAGTGACAACGAAAGAGACAAATGAACAAGAAAATGTGTAAATAAAGAGCAGTTTGATAAAAATGTCTGTAGCGCCCCAAAGTCTGGGTTTCAAAAAGGAAGAGAAAGAAGGGAGAGAGAGAAAAGGCGTCCAGTTT